CTTGTATGGAGGGTCAATATTTAGAGCTTTTTAGGCAATATTTAACGCGCGTATTTGTTCATAAAAGAGCCTATAAATGTATTTTTCAGGATCTGATGCTTATCAAACTATTAGTTTATTATTAGGTGATCATTGTTGGGGTGTACAGCATTATAAATGCAACCAGGTTTCTTACATTGTACTGTTTATTCAAACAACTAATGAAAGCTTAATTCCGGCTTTAGACGCTCTGATTTCAAAAAAAGCAGCAAAAAAAAAAAGAAAAAAGAAAAACAGGATAATATTGGTAAAGAGAACTCTTCTGCTGTAACTTTAGAAAAAGATACAATAATGCAACCAGAATTTATAGTAGATTGGGCCCGAGAAACAATTAAAGATTTTAGTGGGCATCAAGTTTCTTCTGACTATATCAAAATAAAATTAAATGTAGAAAAAAGTTTTTTTACTGACCCTAATAAAAACCCATATAATCAATAAAAGTGAATAATTTCCAACCGTGAATCAAATTTTAATTTTTTTTTTTTATTAATGTATTAAAATTATATCACCATTAAGGATTTGTAATGCCAACCAGTGTTGGAAATCATATGTTCACAGTGTTCACAAGAGCATAAATTTTTTAAAAAAATCAAAATATTTTTATTTTATGTTCACATTTGTGAACATAAATAATTTTTATTTAATTAATAAAATTTTATTTGTGAACATTATTTTTTTTAATGTGAACATAATAAAAAACAAAGTATGTTCACAAAAATCATCATACTGCCTTATGAATTTCCAACACTGATGCCAACATATAGGTAAACTTAATCTAAAGTTCTTTTGATAAGCCAACTAAGTCAGTATTTAGTTTCTTATAAATTTTTATTTGTTCACTAGGTCAGATATGGTAGAGTCAAGAATTCACCACTTAATACTAGAGAGTGTCGAGAATCTTGAGTTAGCGCATCCTTTTGTAAAGGGTTTGATTGTACAGTGACCAAATCACGACTGATGTGATACATGGAATTTTTGATTTAATGTCTATTACTGATAAAATGGAGTCATTTGCACTTGCTACACATTCCAGAAACAAAGACAATGACAATGAATACCTTCCAATGAAAGACTTGAAATCTATAGTCAACCTAATAATCGATCACATATTAGCGGATGATATTTCTGAAATGTTTACAGATGCAGTGTCTGTTCATGTTATATATACAACTACTTTCTATGCTGGATTAGATATCAGTATAGAAATTGTAAGTTCAATTCGCAGTTTCTATGGTTCACTTTTAAATTACTAAATTTTATAACTTTATCATTAATTTATAATTTAGCTGGCACAAAAGCACCCAGACAATTAAATATTTCATGGCCGACCAAGAATTCATAAAATCGGTGAAAGTTTGTGACAAATATGATGAAAAATTTATGGGCATTTATATCAACTATGTAAAAAGATAGAATCACTAATATGTAGGAAACTTAGTTGGGCTATATCTTTTTATGAAGCGGATGGATTGAAATATAATACACAAATTTATGTGAGGTTTAGTACTTAAAATCAAATGATTTAGTTATGAAAAGTAACTTTATTTGAAAGCTTTCAATTGCGTTTAGGAAATATAGTTCTTAAATTTAGGGTTTTATTTCCCTTGATTAAAACAATTCAGATGGCGCTTATACTGTATTTCTTACAAACTAAAACATTCTTGTATTGTTTGGTATAGTATTAAAATATTTTTTATTATTCATTTGAACTTTATATTCTTACTAACTGTTACATTTGTTAAGTCCTCATCAAGTATCTTTGTTAAGAATATAAGGAGGTTCATAAACTTTATCAGGCAATCTATTTATCTTTCAAAGTCTATCCACGTGCCAGTATTGGTTAATTCTCAATATTTCTTTATTTGCTTTAACACAGAATTCAGAAGCTAAAGCAAGGCTTCAAGAAGTGTTACGAGATTGGTTACCAACACCCGAAGGTATAAATTACTATAATAAATGATATATTTCTAGTAAGATAAATTGATTAAACTATCCATAATTTTACTATTAACAAAAGACAGCACAAGTAGTAAAAGAAGCTTTTTGAGTTATCCGCCAGGTAATTTTTATGCCCGTATAATCAATATAGGTTAAAAAGAATTTTTTAGAATTAAAGGCTACACTTGACAAATGCATTCTCTCAATTCGATAGTTTCAAATGTTTGGAAAGAATATCATTGCAAAAGTTAAGCCTTATTGCAAAGCACTCAGATCAGACTTATGGGATGATATTACGACGAAGTATATGGATCCTAATACATTTATTTCTTCAATATTTGACAGAGCTTTTAATTGTTAAAACATCTTAATTTATTTTTTTTCTTTAGTAATTTTGTTCTATTTATCTAAATTAGAAATCTCTATTATGTC